TTTTTCTTGAGACAGGGTCTTGTTTTTTTTTCTTTTGAGCAGCGGCCTTGAACACACTATGTAGCCCAAGCTGTCCTGGAACTCAAGGCGGTCCTACCTCAGCTTCCCAAGTGTGGGGGTTACAGGTATAATCTACTACACCCAGTTGAACAATTCACTTTTAAATACAAATAGCTCAAGGGCCTGAGTTCCATCCCCAGTTCCACAAAAAAAATAAAAATAAAAATAAATAAATAAATGCAAATACCTACTCATTACAATATTTTAGTTAGTGGTGAACCTCATGTATGACTGGAGCCCCATAGGATTATACTTCTTACTAGGCATGATGGCACATGTCTGCAATCCCAGCACTAGGGAAGCTGAGCCAGGAGGATCGCTCTGAGTCCGAGGCCAGCTTTAGCTACAAAGTCCAAGTCCAGCTTGAACTGCATAATGAAACCCTGTCTCAAGCAAGACAAAAAAATTATATTGCTTGATAATGTCTTGGTTCTTAGTTTGTACAAACAAGCATCCTCTGTGATGTTCTCCTAAGGAGGAAATCACTAGTGACATAATGACACATTTCTCAGAATGTATCCTTACCCTTGGGCAATGAGTAACTATATTTAAAAAAGGAAAACTTGTATCACTTCTGTAAGTGGAAAGCCACTTTGCTCTGGCAGAAGATACTTAGATAAGCAAAAGCAACATGACAGCTACATTGCCTGTGGAAACTCCCTTTGAGGCTTTTGAAGTTCACAGTGTTAGGCAGTAAAAGTTGAGACTTTCCTTAGATGGGGTCAAAGGCTTAGCAGAGTTGGGAAGGGAATAACTTTCTCATCCTGGGATTCAGTGTTGCTTACTGTAGTGGCAGGAAACAAATCATCTTCCATCCTCCTGAACACGCCCCCTGCTGGACAGGCAGGCTGTAGCCTTCCCTTTGCTCCCTGGACACCCCTGTGCCCCAGCCTAGCCATGTATCAGGGAGTCTGGGACTTTGCCTGGCTGGTGCTGTTCCCTCTACCATCTGCCTCCTCCCTGGGTGAGTCTGCTGCCTCATTCTCTGTGGTCCAGTGACACTGTCAATTCTTTCCCTTCCTTGCCCGCCTCCTCCTGCCGGGCCCTGCTATTCCCCTGGGCAAGGCATTATGTATAGGCAGTAGTGTCATAATTGACTAGCTCTGGGTTAGACCTTGATATTATGTCATCTCAACATCTGACACAGTTGTTATTCCTATTATCCATTTTAGAGGTGAGGAAACTGAGGCTCCAAGAGAGGCTGAGCAGCTTCCTCAATACTACAGGCTGACAAGTTGCCATATCAGTTTTCAAAATGAGATCAGGCGGCTCCAGCATCATCCCACAGTGGTGCTGGCTATCTCTCCCTTTTGACCTTTCTTTTCCATGCCCCTCTTTCATGACACTCTGCACTCAGCCAGGGCTTTTCCTGTATCCTGAGCCCTAGTGCTAAGCCTGGGTTAGTTAAGGGCTCAGTAAACCTCTTGGAAGAACTCAAGTGGTGACCCAGCTTGAGGCCTGGGCTCTGAGACTGACCTTGAGCTGGGCCTGGCAGCTGGGAGATCATAGCCCTGCAGCTCTTTCCTCCTCAGGGGGCAGAACTGGGGCAACCAACCCAAGCTGGGAGTTCTCTCTAGCTCAGCGAGAGAACACTTGCTGAGTGTGTTAGTTACCACTGAGACAAGATATCTGAAGGAAAGATTTATTTGGCTCTCAGTTTGTAGACATTTCAACCCGTAGTCAGCTGGCTCCAAGGCAGGATGACATGACAGAAGGGCATCACAGAGGAACAACAGTCCATGGCAGGCAGAAGATAGCAAAGCAAGCAAGGGACTTTAGCAGGTTTCTTCTGCCTGTTTTATGCTCTATCTAGGCTGCCAGGATCAGGGTGGCACCAAACCAGTCAGTGGACTGATTTAGTAATCACATACCTTTAATCCCAGCATCACACATTCTAGATCCAGCCACCTCTGAAAAAGCCACACCTATGATTGATTACATGAGGCTTTTGGGGATGGGGGGGGGGAATCTAGACCTAAGCCATAGCACTGAGTGTGCTTGAGGCCCTGGGTTC